ACATGCTGCGGGGGAAGGGAGGATGCTAATGAGTAATGAGTTTATGGGAGGATGAAAATGTTCTGCAATTAGTGGTGACAACTGTACAACCGAGTGAACATACTAAAAATCACTGAATTGTACTTTCAAAAGAATGAATTCTATAGCATATAAATTGTAACTTAATTTTTAAAAAATCTAATGAAAATATTTAAAAACCCAGAAATACTGGGATTTGATTATTTTAGTAACTCAATCTGTGACCTTGAGCAAATCACTTCACTTTGCCCTTTACTTCCCCATCTGTGTGAATAGCTCATTAAAGCCTTCCTAAGAGGCCCGATAACCATAATAAATTTAAGAAGATGGATGAAACACTATCTAATCAGATATGAATAAACATACAGCTCATGGGGACAAAAAAGCTGATAACGTAAGAAATTGAAAGGAGAGCTTCCATATAAACTATGAACCTTCTTCACAGTTCTCAATCTATAATTATCTACTAGCTATCATTCCTTAAGAGCTTATGTGTCAGGAACTATAAGTGCTTTTTATGTATTATCTTATTCTCACAGCACTCTAAGGTAAGCAGAAGTATTCTCATTTTAGAGATAAGAAAACAGACGATGAGAAGTTAAATGACTTGACCAATGTAAATACCTAAGTTGGGCTTCAAACTTAGATCTATGTCACTTCAAATACCAAACCCTTCAATGCACGCCATAAAAAGAACAATAGACCAAAAATATGAACTCCTGGGTTTGAATGCTGTTCCTGCCATGTAATGATTCTGTGATCTTAGGCAAGTCAGTGAACATTTCAGTTTTTTCATTTATTAAAATATTAACTCCTGCCCTAGTTTACCTCATAGAATATAAAAAGGGATGACTATATACATGTCAGTTAAGTCACTACAGAAGTGGGTATGGTAGCATACATCCTCAGTCCTACCTACTCAAGAGGATGAGGTGGGAAGACTGCTTGAGCCCCCGAGTTTGAGGCTGTAATGCACCAAGATCACACCTGTGAAAAGCCACTGTACTTCAGCTTGGGCAACACAGCAAGACCCTATCTCTTACAAAAGAAAAAGAAAAAGGAATGTAAGAGATAATTATAGAAAAGCTGTTTTTTTTATTTTATTTTTTTTTGAGATGGAGTTTCACTCTTGTTGCCCAGGCTGGAGTGCAATGGCGCGATCTCGGCTCACCGCAACCTCCGCCTCCCGGGTTCAAGCAATTTTCCTGCCTCAGCCTCCCAAGTAGCTGGGATTACAGGCATGTGCCACCACACCAGCTAATTTTGTATTTTTAGTAGAGACAGCGTTTCTCTATGTTGGTCAGGCTGGTCTTGAACTCCCGACCGCAGGTGATCCACCTGCCTTGGCCTCCCAAAGTGCTGCGATTACAGGCATGAGCCACTACACCTGGCCGAAAAGTACAACTATTGATAAACCAAAAACATGTTGAATAATGAATGGATTTAATATTTTATAGTTCCTCTAATAGTAATAGTATATACGAAAGCAGTGACTTTCAAAAGATACTTCTCTCAAGCACACCAGGGGTGCAAAGCAAATAGGGATGTCAAATCTACTTTAGTCAGAGTAGCTCTAAAAGCTTGAATAAAGTTCAAAACCACTATGTTTTTGGCAACATCCATTGGCATCTATTAAAAGGAACAGTGACACCAGGATTTCAGGCCTTACCCAGGAGAAAATATTGGTGTACTGAAAAGCGAATGGATTCTAGAGACTAAACTTAGATTGAATCCTGATTCTGGTACATACTAGTTGGGTGACTTTTAATCTCTGAATGTCTTTACCCATAATGCAGGAAAACATTCACCTTGCAGGTCTGTGCACACATTAAATGACATAAAGTTACCATTACAATGTCTGGCACACAGTACTTACTTTAAAAATTGCTATTATTAAATTATCCGATACTTTGGAATTATTAAATCTAATCTGAAAAACTGAATTATGAAAACTCACCAACTCAGAATATGCACCCTGAATATGCAAACATGCCTAAATAATGTTTAGTGAAATGTTCATGAAAAATAGTTGAAAGAGTAAGCCACACAAGAGACTATCAAGGGAACAGGACTAACTTGTGAGTAACAGATAGAGTGGAAGAATAGAAGTTAAGAAAAAAGCAAGTATAAGGAGACATAAAGAATGCTTTGAAATTGGTGTGAGACTTCATAAATTACAACTGACTGAAGAAAAAGACTGAATCCTATATTATATGCAAAGGAGTAAGATACACAACTCAAATTAAGTATTCCCAGATGACAATTATGACTTCAAAATACACAATGGGTCTCACAGTCAAGAGGCCCAAGTCCTAGTCCTTAACAGCCCCACCGCTAAGCTTCTAGGGTGCTTTAGGAATATTTGAGTCTCAGTTCCCTCATTTATTAATACATTCCCTTACAGAATACAGAACTCTCTGAATATTCAGTTCCTCAACTACATGATGAAGTGGTGAAATGATCCATGTCTATGCTCTCTTTCAGCTTTATGATTCTAAGGAGAAAGAGAATCTGTATTATTACTACCATGGGACTTAGATGAAGCCTGCTTATGTACCAATAAAGTAGAAAAGAAAAATACGGGAAAATAAGCCATTTGAGGACCACACAAATATTCACCAATATATGCTCTTTTCTTCACAATACTACCATACAGAAAGGCCTTTCTAAAGAACTTTCTTTTCCAGGATAAGCAGTTACCCTAAACCAAGAAGACCGAAGCATCTATTTAAAAAGGTAAAGTTGTCCAGGCATGGTAGCTCAATCCTATAATCCCAGTACTTTGGGAAGCCAAGTGGGGCAAATCACTTGAGGCCAGGAGTTCAAGACCAGCCTGGCCAACATGGTGAAATCCCATCTCTACTAAAAATACAAAAATTAGCCGGGCATGGTGGTGCACGCCGGTAATCCCAGCTACTTGGGAGGCTGAGGCACATGAATCACTTGAACCCAGGAGGTACAAGTTGCAGTGAGCCAAGATTGTGCCACTGCACTCCAGCCTGGGCAACACAGCGAGACCCTGTGTCTAAAAAAAATAAAATGAAAAGTAATACAAAATAAAAACGATGAATTACTAACAATTATACAATCTTCTAATCAGCAGATTATCCTTTTATTTTCTCTCAGTATTTTCACCCAGTTCTTCAATCTTCAGAGAACTTGTTTTGACAAAATGAGAAGCTGAGCCCTAATTAAACTTATCTAAAGAATGTATAATTATTAAAAATCTGATTTTCTTATGTATTTGTATAGAAGAGTGCTGGTATACTGAAAGATCAAATTGTAGTTTAAGAAAGGCAGCAATGAAGATATATAACAATTAATGTTACATTAATATTAAACTCCAGGTTAATTTTCCCAAATAATGTTACGGGTCAGTTTCCAAATTCTCTTTATTCATGTTATAGTCCAACTTTTCGATCTTCCAAAGTCAAAATAATCTTCACTTTACCTTCTATGTAGCCTTCTACCTCCTCTATTGTGCGTCCATCTCTCTATCTCCCCCTGCTAAGGTTTTCTCCTTTTTCTACTATATATCACAGCAGGTCTCCACTTCAATTCTTAGTTTCCTTCCCTGGTTTTTCCAATTGTTCTTCCCATTCCTTTACCCCACTGTTTTATAGGATTCTCCTTTCTTTTCATCCCTAGGACTTACTGTCACAGTACTGCATCTCCTATTCTCGCTTCTTTTGGTAAGTTTTTACACACATTACTTCTTCAGAACCTAAGGTTTCTCTTCTGTAGTCCTTTTTCAAAGAATATCTATCAATTCATCTCTAGAATCCCAAATATACTCTTGAGTCCTCATACCTAAGTATCCTTCCTACTCCTTTTCTCTTTACAGTCACTAATTCCCAGAATCCTGTCTGAAACTACAAATATCCCCTCAAAACCAAATGCCTATTCAATTGTTTCCACTTTCCAGCAATTATCCTATGTTCACCTCATTCTTTGTCCTCGGCCCAAGTATCCCCTAACCTGGCACAAGCCATTTAATGATCTAAAATTCCAAAGCCTATCTCTTCAACATGGCTCTCCTCTCTTTCCAGCAAACTATTTCCCTAACTCCCAATGCTTCACTAATTCAGAGTCTTAGGCCAGTACATCGCTTCCCTCAGATCTATTAGCCCCGCAAAAACTGATTGCCCAAATCTTCCTCTAAGCTTCCCAGACCTTACAACTGCAGCACTTTCATTCACCAAACCGTATTTATAGTTATTTCTCAATCTTTAGAGCCTATGGTCACTTCGCAAATTCTTCAGTCCTGTCCTTCTTCTCTCTCCCTTATCCTGTCCAGCTTCTCAGCACATTCCTATTACCCTTAACAATCTTCATGGCTATATTCTCCGCCTTACCTTAGGCCTACTCCCCAAACTTTCTCATTCTCCCTTAAGAGGCCTAATCTCACCCCTCATTCCCTGAATCTGTCTTTAGACCTCTGGGAATTATCTAGAATCGTCTGCTTCCTAGTGCTCCTCTTTCGTTCTCCAACCCTGTCCAACTCCCTCAGTTTTTCTACTATCTAGTTCTCACAGTATAGATATTAGAACTTTTACAATATCCACTCCTCCCAAACCTTTTCTTAGTTGTTGCCTCAATTCCCCTCAACTTTTCTCTCAGTCATTCCCCATTTCCCTCCACCTTCCCTGGCCGATTTTCCTCCACCTTTGTCACCGTTCTACTCCCTTTTCTAAACCTCCTTCATTCTGGAGGTGATTCTCAGTTATGTTAGTCTCTCAGCTTCCCTAACCTTTGCCTCATTCCCCTCTCCCTCCAACAACATTATTTTTCCTCCAGTTTCTATTGACTTGGCGCCTCCCCTAGTTCCCCAATCTGCCTTCTACTCCATCTAAATATCTCCAGGCCGCCGCCAACATTTTCTCTTATCGGTAGACTCCTTCCCCGTGCCTCTCTGAACGCTCAGAGCCACCATTCTCCAATGGCCGGGGCCTGGCCCCTAGGTAGGAGTATGGGTCACGTACCCCATTCGCATCTTGGCTCCGCTCTGACTGCCCCCACTGCCGGGTAGAGGTGGGCGAGAGGGAAGGCGGCCGAGGTGCATGCTCTTTTCGAGGGCCGACATCAAGGAAAGGCTGCACGCACGTAGTCAAACAGTAGGCGAACCTTCGTCCCACGTTGAGTGTGGCCCAACCGGTCACGACTCGCTCCCCTAACGACGCCCAGTCGCCTTTGGACAGCACCCAGCTACCGGTAGCACCGCCTACCGCCCACCGGCTCTGCAAACTCCACCCACTCGCTTCAGCACTTCCACCGGAAGTGCGCAACAGCCCTCACACAAAGGAACCTGGGTAACAGAGTCTGCGAACTCCGCAGACTCCCAACTGGAAACCCGACAACTTTCACCGGAAAGAGGAGCCGTCTTCAGGGCAATGCACCCTGGGCAATGGAGTCCTCAACGGGCGTATCCCTATGCGCTTGCGCAGCCGGAGGCGCCCCCAGCCAACCCCGCAGAGGTATTGTAGCAAAGCATCCTGGGTATTGTAGTCTATTGGCAGGAAGGCGTCTTGGCGCCTTCTCTTCGCACTGTTTTCCGGAGACTGTTAGAGGAAGAGTGGCTTTTTCCTGCCTCCCAGGCTGCCCAGCGGCGCCGGTTGCCGGGGAACGCAGGCGCCGTGGGGAGGGATGGCGGGAGGCGACTGCTTAGGTGCTGGAGACAGAGTTGTGCTGATGAAGAAGAGCTCGGGCTCATCATGAAGCAACGTAAAGGCCAAGGGCCTGGGGGCAGCCGTGGGCGCAAAAAAAGAGGTAACCCGAGCGATCAAAGATTGAGGAAAGCGTTAACAGGGGAGCAGGGTGTAAGGAATTTTAGGGAGACCCCCACCCCCGCTGGATAAACAAGAAAAGGGACGTAAGAAGGGAAATAGCCAGGGGACCACAAGGTTAAAAGGAAGGGCAGTTGGCCCTCCAGAGAATAGAAAGGAATTAGGGGCTGGGGTAGGGGCCACAAAGTGGTGATTAATGAGATGAAGGTTACCGGTGGGATGACTGTAGAGGAGAAGAGCAAACAATAATAGGATTGGTTTTGATAACGAAGTGAAATGTATGTGTGCGAGTAGCTTTAGAGGTCCGCAGGGACAGGAAGAAACATAAATTGGCAAAGGGATGATATCATTTCTTGTGTGATTGTGGACAAGAATCACGTTTTATACATTACTGAATGACCAAGGATTAGTACAAAGCAGGACTCGGTAAATGTTTGTTGAATGAACGAAGCATGAAGGGCTGGCTATGAGCAGGAGTTGGGGAAAAAATAATTGTAGAGTATAGAGCGGGGAAGAGTGGGGAATGACAGGTGTGATAGGATTGAAGTGGGGGTAAGGGCATGAGGTTCTCCTGAAGGACCTGAGATCGTGAAAGAGTGTACAGCAGAGAGTCCTTATCAGGTTAACACCTCGAGGAGACACAGGCTCACCGAGTAGGGGATGTTAGCTGCAGTAAGAACAGTCAAACTGGGAACCGAGGGCAGATCAGGAAACTGGATATTGAATCTCTACAAGACTGCCTCGAAGGGAAAAAGGACAGTGGGTGAACCTGCCTTTTTGCATCGTAGGCAGTTTAGTGAGAAAAGAAGTATTGGTTTGGAGCAGTGATAGGACATTAGGCCATTGGGTTGAGGACTGAAGCTACAATCTGGGGATTACTCTTATCCAAGCTGTTTAAAGATTACTAAGGCAGTTTTGAGATAGTGACTTTTCTGCCACGAAAGATAGGAGGATCTGAGACTGAAGCATACTAGTGCTCCCTGTGTCAAACCAGTTAAGCATGTTTGGTTGATAAGCGGAAAGTCAAAGTAGAAATAATATAGTATAGAACAGAATATACTTTTTTTGCTATACCATTTCCATAGTAGAAATATATACACAATCGTGTATAATTTTTATGTTGAAACTATCCGTAAGGATTATGGTGGGTCTTTTCTCCACTATGGAGGGCAGAGGGGATGTTTGCATTAGAAGTCCAAATAATTAGTCCTGATACATTCCATATATTTTCTTCTTTGAGGCATAACCACTCCTCAAAGAAAAGTCAAAGGAAAAAAAAGGTATACATAATGTATGAATGGTTTCTTAAATTTCCTCCAAGTCTTCTTGAAAATGTACTATGAATGGAAGATAATCAGGGTCATTAAAGGAAAATTTTATAGAAAGTCATGATTAATTGCTTTGTTTACACTTTAATGTCTTTATGAAATCCAATAAATACTAAAACCAATAAATATATGGACCCAGCACTGTGTTAAAAATAGTGGCGGAATCTGAAGATTAGATAGTCTGTGTCCTCACTGACTGTGTGATCTTGGCAGGAAAGAAAAGTTACAGACAATTTAAGATGTTCTTCATTGAAATGCTGAGTTGTATGATATAGTCTAAATCGTTTGTGAGTGAAGGGAGTTGTTACTGTTTTATAGTTAGTGTTTTTTTTAAAAAAAAAGTTAAAGATTACATATCTTAAAAACCATAGATGTTGCAATAATTAAAACAACTGTACTTGTAAAAATTTCAACCATACTTAGAAAAATTTCAACTACTTCTGATATTTCTTTTTTTCAAATAGTAACTCAATTAAAGAAAAGTTTATATTAGTGTGTCTTTGTTGGTATGTTCTTTACTTACAGTAACTCAAATCAAACCTTAAATACTAATTAGTTATCAGGGTGACTTACATGACCAGGTAGATTATTCTGTGGTCTGATTTGATAGTTACTTCTCATGTGTTAGAATAATGGGTAGGATAAACCTTTTTTCTAAATGATGATAAATTGCTGAACTTAAGACTAAAGTGTTTTGTTTGTTTTCATTCAAAAAGCGTATTATATGTTTTCTATATTTAGTCTAAATTTTGATTTCATTTTCTTGGATTCCTCTACAGGTTTAAGTGACATTTCTCCATCTACAAGCCTGCCACCTCTGGTTGAAGGCCAGCTACGCTGTTTTCTAAAACTTACTATTAATAGAGTCATATGGAAGATTGCAAAGCCTCCCACTTGTGTACTGGTCCGAGTGAGATGGTGGGGAGAAACATCAGATGGAACCCTCTTTTGTCCCAGGGATGCATTGCAGACTGAACCAAAAGCTGTGAGAACAACTACACGTTATGCTATTCGTTGTGGTCCAAAACAGTTTACCTCTTATCTAACAGGTATGTTATTGTTTTATCATTGCACCTGCAGACATAATACAAAGCATGTGGTTATATTGTCAGCAATAAGTGTTATTGTGTACCTAGCATATATGGGCATTCTTAATTATTGAAGAGTCAAAGAGTTTTATAGTAGAGATTTTTCTTTGTAAATTTATTGAGTGTTACTGTGTGCCAGCAGTTTTGAAATGTATTACTTCTAATCCTTACAATAACCCTGAAAGATAGGTATTGTCTCTATTTTATAGACAATGAAACAAGTTTGGAGAGATGAAATGAATACTTTCTGAGGTCACAAAGTTGATAAATGACTGAATTAGGATTTGAACCCACTTCTGTCTGTCACCAAAACTCATGCTCTTTTCACTACACCATGCTTTTTTAGGCAATAACTGTAGTCTCAACTCTGGGGTTTACGTTATACTCAAGGAAAGAGGATATAGATGTAAAATTTACCAATAGTACAAGCTAATACATACTAAATGCCAAACGAATGGTTTAGGGAGTTAGTATTACAGATGTTCAGAGATGGAAAGCATCCCTCTGTAGGGAACCAGAGGCCAAGATGTCTTCATTTTTGTGCAAGGAAAGTATTCTGAGTGTACTATGTTATTTCTTCATTCAGGTCAAGCTTTCACATAAATACGTTTTGGGTGATGGGGTTATTTATCAAATCAATTCAGTTCAAGTCAATAAAATTCGAGCATTTATCATGTAAACATTGTTGGGCTCAGAATATTGGAGAGCCAGGGGTGAGTTAAAGATTAACTTGTCCTTGAGTAACTTACATTCCCTCGAGAAAAAATTTTTGAAACATCAACATGTAAAGAACAAATGCTGTAATTTAGTCATTCAAAAAATATATTTAGCACATGTTAGACATTGTTTAAGGCATTGTGGGGTTTACAAAAAATCCAAAAAATTAATCAGAATGATACAGAACTCTAACTTCACAAAAAGTTTAGTTATTAATAGTAGGTTAAATGCAATAAATGCGATTAAAAGATACTCATAAATAATCTTGGTACTGTAAACTTAAAACTGAAATCCTCAGGTAGTATTTTTATGTAATGTAACAAATGAGGAGTGATTAGAAATTTAATAAGAGACAAGGAATTTATTAACATGGTAATCAACAGGTCAGACTTTTATTTGAACATCTTATGGTATATTGGTGCATTGGATTTGGCATCCGAACATTTACATTGGTGTTACCAACTATGTGATTTTGGGAAAGTCTCTTCCCATTTCTGATTCCTGTTTCCCCATCTGTAAAATGGGATCATATAGTTGCCCTTCCATTTTCTAGGTATTTTCACAAAGAAGCAACCCGGTTGAACGGGTTGAAGTCTAGACGGTCTAGAGTTTGAACTCTGGTTTCAGGACTAGATTGTTAGGTGATGCTGAGAGGTTCCTTAGCATCTTGGGGCCCCAGTTTCCTATTAGTTAATTGGGAAAAATGGCACTTATTTGTCAGGAATTATTGTAAATACTAAATGAAAAAAATGTTTGTAAAGTGATTGGTCTAGTAGCTGACACATTGTAAGTACAAGTCTTACAAAAATATTAAGACTCAGGCAGTGTGTACAGAGATTTAAGATGTATTCCCTGCCCAAAAGGAACTTAAAGATTAGTTGAAAACAAAACTGACATACATGAAACAGTAGTGAGCAATGCCAGACAGTGTCTGATTACTTGATACATATAGTAATATCATATGAATATTCTAGGAAGTTAATAAGGACTAATCTTATTAGGAAGCCAGAATCCTGCTTCTACTCTATGCTCTGGCTGTTTGACTTTGAGCAAGCCGTTTCATCTTCTTGGGCCTTAATTTTCCCACCAGTAAATTGAAAGAGTTAAACATCAAATGTGCCAGCACCCAAATTTCATGATTCTAGTTAAGAAAGAAGGCCATGGAAAAGGTAGAATTTCAACAGGAGACACATGAGGTGAACCTTATAAGTGACAGTCCAACTGTAAACATGACATGGTTTTGTTGTTGTTGTTGTTGTTGTTTTGAAACAGAGTCTTGCTCTGGCCCAGGCTGGAGTGCAGTGGTGCACTCTTGTCTCACTGCAAGCTCCGCCTCCCGGGTTCAGGCCATTCTCCTGCCTCAGCCTCCCGAGTAGCTGGGACTACAGGCTCCTGCCACCACACTCGGCTAATTTTTTGTTTTTTAAGTAGAGATGGTGTTTCACCTTGTTAGCCAGGATGGTCTCGATCTCCTGACCTCATGATCTGTTCGCCTTGGCCTCCCGAAATTCTGGGATTACA